CTTAGGTTTCGGCGCGAAAGGATCGCAGTGATGGCCGATATACAAGCTATGTTCCACCAGGTTCGGGTTCCAGAAGAAGATCGTAATGCTTTGCGTTTTTTGTGGTGGGATAATGAAAAACTCGAAGGGCCTCCGCTAGAGTATAGAATGTGTGTTCATCTGTTTGGTGCCAAATCCTCCCCAAGTTGCGCAGCATTCGCGCTGAACCGTGCGATTATAGACAAAGGAAAATCTTACGATGTGGACGTTGTGGAAGAAGCCAAACAATGTTTCTATGTAGATGACTGCTTATTCAGCGCCCGAACCATTGATGAAGCTCGTACTTACGCGGGTCAGTTGAAATCGATGCTGGCAGACGGCGGATTCAATCTTTCGAAATGGGTGAGCAACGATTTACGGGTATTGAAATTATTACCAGAATCTGACTGCGCGGTGGACTGTGTCCAGCTTTCATTAAACGAACCATCACTTCATCGTACTCTTGGTTTGAACTGGAACCTAAAGGAAGACTCTTATAGATTTCACGTTCAAACAATGACTTCACTCGCCACCAGAAGGAATATATTGTCTTACGTTTCCTCCTTTTTTGACCCTCTGGGTTATTTGTCTCCTGTCATTTTAACTGCTAAACTCTTACTCCAGCGGTTGTGCAAATTGAAGTTTGAATGGGATCAAATCATAGAGGGCGTCGAGCTGGATTTATGGTTGAAATGGTCACGTTCGATTCAGCTGATTCAAAATGTCGTCATACCTAGGTGCATAAAGGGCCCAGGGTTTTACAGTACCACACAATTTGATTTGCATGTCTTTAGCGACGCATCTGATTCGGGCTATGGTGCAGTCGCTTACTTTCTGTTGACCAAGCAAAATGGAGAAACATGCTGCAGACTTGTTTTGGCAAAAGCCCGCGTAGCTCCCATTAAAACGACTACGGTGCCTCGTTTAGAGTTAGTCGCGGCGGTGGTTGCAGCGAAGTTGGCGAAACAGATACAAGTCGACAGTGGAGTTGTCATCTCTTCGACAACCTTATGGACGGACTCATTAATCGTCTTATATAGCGTCCGAAACCAATCAAAGAGATTTCCTACCTTCGTTGCCAATCGTTTGGCCGTTATACTGGACTTATCTAGTGTCGAAGAATGGCGATATGTTCCGACAAAATACAATCCTGCTGACCTTGCGTCTCGTGGCGTGTTCGCTTCCGATGCGTCAAAGCTCAAGCGCTGGTTAGATGGGCCTTCATTTCTGACACTCGATCACAGCTTATGGCCGCAGACTCCATCTAGTGCCGCAACGACGGAGTGTACTGTATTTACGTCGCTTGTCAATACACCTGATGAGCCAAAAGAAGTAAATCTGATTTCACGGTTTGAACACGTCAAACCTTGGACTAAGTTACTCCGCCTAGTGGCGTGGTTGTTAAAATATAAAACATATCTAGTGAAGAAAAACGAGCAACAAAACCCGTCATTGACGGTGAACGACCTGCGTGTAGCCACAAAGGAAGTAATCCGACTGATACAATCACAAACATTTGGCAAAGAAATTTCATCGCTACAGAACACATGTTCCGTTGCCGATACCGTGACAACTCATGGACCGAAAAAGGGCAAGGTAGTTTGCCGCTCAAGTTCATTGCGTAAATTGAACCCCTTTTTGTTCGACGGTATTCTCCGGGTTGGCGGTCGATTACAAGACGCTCCGCTACCATTTGAGACTAAGTATCCTGTAATCCTCCCTTCGAAGCATTTCGTCACTCATTTGATAATTGAACACTGTCACACTTTGAATGGTCACGCGGGACTCAACTTCGTCGTTTCAAATTTAAGGCAAAAGTACTGGATCCTGAAGGCTGCAAAAACGGTCAAATCGCTACTAAAGGACTGTTTCAAATGCCGTCGTTGGTTCGGGCAACCCTGTCAACAAGTTATGGCTCCACTACCGGCTGATCGAACCCTGTGTTACCAAGATCCATTCACAATATGCGGTGTAGACTATTTCGGTCCGATGTATGTTAAGCGTGGACGTACGGTAGAGAAACGCTTCGGCTGTCTGTTTACTTGCTTCAGTTCGCGTGCAGTACACATCGAAGTGGCTCATTCCATGGATACCGATTCCTTCCTGTGTGCATTTAATCGATTTGTGGCTCGCAGAGGTTGTCCTCAACGCCTTTACAGCGATAATGGGAGTAATTTCATAGGAGCCGAATCTGAAATAAAAGGGCTTATGCGTGCGTGGAGCCAAGAGAAGATTCGGAATGAACTCCTCGTTCGCGAATGTGATTGGATTTTCATCCCCCCGAAAGCCAGCCACCAAGGTGGAGTTTGGGAGCGAATAGTCCGCTCAATTAAGCGTGCGCTGATGATTATTCTGGAGGAACAGCCGCTGACGGATGAGGTTTTGTATACAGCGATTGTGGAAATAGAACGTATGTTGAACGACCGTCCATTGGTGAAGCAGTTCGATGACCCGGATGACCAATACGTATTGAGCCCTAATAAATTATTGCTACTTCGCAGCAACGAATCGGTTTCCGTTCCGGAGGAAATACCATATCGGAAATTTAACCGAAGATGGCGCCAGGCCCAAAATTTGGCGGATATTTTTTGGAAGAAATGGCTGAACCTTTATCTCCCGACACTACAATTAACCCAACGTTGGACACGAGTTCACCCAAATGTTCAGCCGGGAGATTTGGTTCTGGTTATCGACAAAGGCGCCTCCAGAGGTCAGTGGCCGAAAGCCGTCATTGAGAATATCGTCGAAGGATCGGACGGCTTGGTGCGTGAGGCGATTATTCGAACAGCCGCTGGTCGTGTTCGCAGGGACGTGCGCCACTTATGCAGGCTCGAAGGAAACATAGAGATACTTGACACTCCACCAAGCAACGATCCAACTCAGTTGTCGATCCCGGGGGGAGTGTAACGTTCGGTGAACGTTTGTTGATTCCTTCACACCTACCGACACTTCATGACTCTCATTCCACATTTCAGACACTACTTGGAGTATAAACTTCACCTGTATTTTCCTTGATATTTGCGTCAGATCTGCTCAAAGACCTGTGGTACAATCTTGAATGTACGTTCGTATTGAATCATTGCTATGTATTAGCCATTGACACTTCTATTCGATCAATAACCGTTGTTTATTTGTTCTTATTACAGAACCACACCGAATACAGCGAGTCTTCTCGACTTAACAAAAGACTTCGGGTGCGTATACTCAGACAGCATCTCAGCCGCATATCTTGCATCAATCACCTAGGTTCAAAGTGAAACCTAAAGGTGGTCTAGAACCACGTAGTTCGACGCCGATTCTCAAGTTTGTTTTACATGCTGTGTACTTTACTTTCTAGAACAAACTCTTCATTTTTCAAAGCCAATATAATTTCCCAAGACATGGCCAACCTCATTCTCGGTGAGTAAATTATGACGTTTAAACTTGACTATGTTATGGAGAATTTGGAGCGAATTTGCTCGTTCCTCCAGAGACTGTACATGAAACTGGATGCATCAGTACCTACTAACAGTTCTCATATATACAATGAGCCTCTTCTACCCCTGTCATCCATGAATGAGCTATGCAGGTACAAAGAAAACCTCGGAGATGGTCCGCGGTATGCACAGCTAGTATTGATCGTAGTCACCATGATTGATTTCCCAAAGGTGGAAAGGTGATGCCTGTAGGAAGCCGGCGATGTAAAACAGTACTAACGAACATACTTGCATGCATGTTGGCACCAGGACTAGCCGTACTTCTAAATTGAAGAATAAATGAAAAAGGAGCCTTGGGGCCAACCAGGCTGACCGAAGGACCTGTTTGTAATTATTTAATGATTATTTTACACTTAGTTAACTGAACAAATGGCCGGATGAAATGCAATAACCGTACATTTCACTACAAACGAGATAACCGAGAAGCTTCCCGACACAAACATACGACGAATAAAGACTCGTTCGTTGCTGGGTAGAAAACGAACGATAGAAAGTTCGGAAACGCCTGCAAAGGGCCATCAAGTATGACGAATGAATCTCCGTATTTTTTTTTACTTCATATGAATATTTGTAATTGAAGACATTTATATCCAGGGGGTAATATGCTGAGGAAAGGTGTGGGGGTAGGTGGGTTATCGCGGCAGAAGAGCAGTGTTTAAGATCCCAGCGAATAGCACAGAGGGAAGAAATAAATGCCTACAATGGGCTGAATTCGCGCACCGGACGACTTTCGTCAAGTGCGGACTGGGTGCAGAAATCCTGGTACTACGTTCGGATTTTCCGATCCCAGATGCGGACTGGGTACGGAGACTTGTTTCATTTCCGGACCAGACCCTCACCCGGATGCAGAAATGCTGCGAAAATTTCTGCAACGGTGCTAAGTAGGATTGGTCCCGCTTGTTTTGTCGTCACAGAAAATGATCGAGAACAAGGAACTCACTACTTAGAACATAAACGGAATACAGGCATCCGAGAGTTATAAGAGAGCAACACGCTACTGGTGTGAGTGGTCACCGTTCGAGAAACTCACCCAACAAGATTCCAGCAAAACTGCAGGCACCTCCACAACCAACTGTGCACCCACCTGCATATTACATCTGAAACCAGTTTCATATGGGCCAAACGTAAGCTGAAGGTAAGCAGTTAGCCTGCTTACATTTTTTCGGCACCAGACTGCTTTTCGGACGCGGCAAACTTTCCCAACTAAGTATCTCTCTTGTTGGTACCTTTCGTACCATCCCCGAGTCGATTTCTGAAATATCGCCCTCGAAAATTACGTACACGGCAAATAAACCTAGTTTAGGTTGGTAAGTGATGACTGTCAGCTATTGGGGTGTTAACCTCCATTGTGTATGATACTGTGTGTGACTCCATGACACTCCGCATGACGCGTCATGGACATAGCTATGGTGGCACACACCATTTTCTGAAAAGATATAGGGTGGCGATACACTATGCGCAGAAGGCTTTCCAGGCGAAAAGTCCGTTTCAAACAACCGAACGAACCTTTTAGAACGGTTGAGATCGACCTGACCACCCACGTGCTTCCTAATCCGGTAACTGCAGTCAACCGCACTAATGCCTCTCACCCGATTGGTCAATAACACGGGTTCTCGCCTTTTCAAGAGTAAGTACACAGGATCAGGGCTCATACCCAAATGCCCCTTAAGTGTATCAGTTGTTTTAGTCCTGAAAAGTGACAGACCACGATGAAAATGTGAACTCCAGTTTCCCCATATCCAGCGAAGAGAAGCGAACGCTAGCAAAATATTTAAAGCTTCGTGGGCTCAGTTGAGTAGCTTGACCGTGCGAACCACATATTCTGGTCGCGTAAGAGGAAATAGGAATGATCTTGGTTTCGTAACCTGTGACGCTGGAACATAACGGACTTAGTAGTACAAGAACTCGTGGAACCAATTAAAACCAGTGTTGCTCACAACATGCGATACGAGGGGACCTTGTAGCAATGTAGGGATGTTTTCACGGATTCACAGACTGATACAGCTGATCCACGCCTTCACACAAGCTTCACGGGCCGGGCTTGTTCTTGTCATTTATCGGCTTCCATTCACCTGAAAGACACGGACACAAAAATGGTATAGCGCGGCTCTTTAGGCTTTTGGTATGGGGCAGTAACCTTGTCAGGGTGAGGACCCAACTAAAAAGTCATCCAAAACTGCCTTGAATTGGAAATTAGATCCAGCGTGAACAACCGTCGGAGAAAGGTTATTCCACGCACCAGCTACCTGAAAGGAGAAAAGCTTTTGCTTCGTAAAGTTGTGCGCTCTGAGCTTGAAAACCTCATGTCTCCACCGTGGATTAAGTCGCTCACCGGCGAAAAGCCCGCTGGCGAAACCTTGTTGTGATAAATATGGTAAATCTATGATGTTACAACAATAGGGCCTATGTAGTTACAACAACAGGGCCTATGTAGTTATTATAAATAAGTTTTTTTACTTCAGATATGGAATTGTTATTGAGGGAGCCAGGGACTTTTGAAGGCGACTTAGTGGCGAGTCACGACTGGGAGTGTGAAGAGTAGGTTTAGGGATAGGTCGATCCATATTGCGCTTGAGATAAGTAAAAAGGGGCAAGCATCCCCTTACCTAGAGGTTTACTCCGGGCTGCAGTAACCAGAGGAGAGGGGCGCCTCATGCTTTCTTAATCTTTTCAGCTGCACTGTGAGAGTGCGGAGCGTGACCTCAGTGTTCGAAGTTGTTTAATGAGTTAAAAATCAGCTACATATCAATTTAAACGGGTTTTTACATGTGTGTCGGACAAACCAGATGCCCGTCGCATACCAAAAAGGACAGATTTCTCTGCAGATTCTTTTCAGGTGGCGGATTTTTCGAAGTATAAAAATATTTTGTGGTCCTGATGGGGTTTCAGCCCAGAACCCAGCATAAATCGATTTATTTTGCCAAGCGAGGGGACCACAGCATATAATTCAACCCGTTTAGACTGAAGTTGGGTTGAGAACTTTTGTGATACCGTCTATCTGGTGTTATTTTTTATGCGGGATTCGAGGATGAACACAGAAGGAAAAGGCTGATGAAATTCAAACTCCCGAATTTGTGCGGAGTGTGACGGCGGAAATTGGGGCAGTGTAAGAGAGAACGATAGAGTTTATTACTGAAGGGCATCTGGTCTGTTTATCATAGGCCTGTTTATTGAGACCTGAGAAAGACGTTTCCGACGCAGAAAGCTCGGATGTCGATGACCTTTTCTAAAGTGCAGTGACACCCTCATCCCATCGGCATTTGGTAATGCTTCACAATTAGGGGGAAGATCGCAAATCGGATTAATAAAGATAAAGAAGGAAACGAGGCCCAAAAGTGATCCTTTTTGGTTACCTCGAAGATGGTTCGAAAGTGATTCGGCGGCACATCATCAGTGTGATTAGCGGGAAGCGATGCCAGGAAGCCGTTTACTCTGCGAAAACCCAACACCAGGCTGCCATTGGCCATGGGTACGAAGCTCGTGGGAGTTGTGCCAGAAGCCCGGAGAGGGTCAGAGGACGCTCGTACAACATATTCTACGAGCACTTGGGTTAGGTTAGAAGAAAATGACTTTATTTCCATGGGACGTCAACGGAAGCGGACTGAACTGGCGAAATTTGTACGCGGGAAATTACCGCAGCCGAGATTTATTTGCGATTTTTTATTTTCTGTGGGAGTGTGTGTAGTTTGCTGGGTGATGGTTGTTACCGTCTTTGCAGATGGAGTGAGAAATCTCAGCCCTCTTGGAATTGGAAGAATTCCGTAGAAGGTGAATTGATACCGGGAAGCATTTTTGCGCTGCACACCTTTTCAAGGCTTTCCTGTACCGGAAGCGCGATTGATGTGGTGTAGCCGTTTTTGACAATAAGGTCAGCACCGCTGTACAAACGGTAGCGAGGACGGCAGCATCGCCTGCTAAACTGAAAATTAGGGTCTCTCCTGCAGTCAGAGAGAAAAAAGGATACGGCTTTGATTTTCAAGACTGGACAGTTCGGTGAGGCTATTATGAATGGACCTATGCCGGTGATAATGGCTGTCTCCTACTACCTTTGTGGTATCTAAAACACTCGGGTGGAGGCCGAGGTTGGCCCCGGAGTTCATTGCAACGGGTCTTGGGATAACTTGGTCACAAAAATTTCCCGATTGCACAATATGCTGACGCATCCATGGAGTTTCACCCTCTCCTCCAAGGATGTAGTACAGATTGGGCCAGAGGTTGTGCATCTCTGTGAGGTACGGAACTTCATTTCGTTCCGCCCATGGATATACAGGTAATTATACTGGAGTTGGCTAGCCCAAAATTAGTGTGGTAGAATTTTTGGCATCATTTTAATCGTACCTATGAGGAGAACAAAGCCACTGTTAGGGACCAAATGCACGCTCGAATTATCATTGGGCAGTTGAAACACGCACTTCTATTACCACTACACCAGCGTCACTACCACGAAGAAAGCAGCTTAGGTCAAGTACTGACTGGAAGAGCTGACGCACAATAATTCGGCCGTCACCACTATGAGTGTCAGATGGAGAGAAAGGTAGCTTAGCTAATCTTCTGGGGAGTAGGGGAGAATATGCGGCATAGGCAGCCGTGGAACATGTTTAGTGTGAGCAGCTATAACATATACGCCGCGATGGAGGTCAACAGGTGGTTTGCATATCCTGGTAACGGTGAATTTGGTGCAGAGGCAGATGCAGCCGTTTTGCTGTTCGGTTTCCTGAAATTTGAGGTTAAATTTTATGTTTTTTGGCACCACGCAGACCGTTTGGCATTGAAGTTAAGTATGACGTGAAATGACCAAGGAAGTAAAGAACCTTTTTATCCTCGGGGAATGGCATTAGTGGAGAAGGCCCAGATTCACGAGTTGTCTTTGTGAACCTTTCCAAGACATACCGGGTGACGGTGGGCAATCAAAACCTCCTTGTTTGTTTCATTTCCCAAAATGTGCGTTCATAAATGAGGGAAAGCCGTTTTTTTAGCAATACAAGGTGCTGCAACAGCAGAGTTGATTTTGAACAACATCATAGGTAAGGAGCCCGAGTAGAAGCAAATATCTGAGGTAACAGAGCAAGTTACACTGGGTTCCTTTTAGGTAGTTACTGCATCCTGAAAGGAGAATGAGGTTAGGCCTGGCTAACCAGTCGCGCCAGTGTCAAGCCGGGCGAGACTGCAGAGATGTTGTGGGAGCCTGTCTGAATCTAAGTGGATCTGGTTGTTGTTAGAAGTGATGAGGGAAACACAGTCCAGCCGCATCCCGAAAAAGCTGATCGTCCATAATTTAGTATGCCTCATCGGCTGCTGACGCTAGAACTGCAGAGGTGTCCATGGACTTTTCGGCTCAACCCAACGAAGTGAATTTGGGTTATGGGGCCGCAAAATAAGTTGCTGACAAGTTTGCTGAGCTGGAGAACGCTGGTGATTTTTGGCGCAGAAGCAACTGTTGTGGACGCTGAGCGACTAGGGAGAAATATTCTCAAGGGTGGTAAGCTCGCGGGGGTGATTTTTTCATTTTCCAGTGGAGGGTAAATGTGCTGTGAATAGTTTTCCACAGTGGCCAATGAGTGTCTTCTGGTGTATAGGTGTAGCGGACATTTCCATGTCCCCTCAATCAACTTCACTTAATTTGTCCAGTACATGGGTGTTTACCAGATCCCACGACTTACCTGCTGCACAAGCACACAAGTCACGTGACAAATGCCGCTCCACCCGCAACCTTGACCGACTACAAGTCAGTTCCTGTCTTTTACGCATCGGAGCGATTCATATTTTATGCACACATCAAACTTTCCTATATATAGGAAGCGACGACACAGTCAACACGCATGGACTCGCGCGCGCGCAGGGAGCAAGTAGTCAGCTAAACACTCCAAGTCCACGGACAATCATGGGATACGTGTAGCAGCCAAACTGTGGAGAAAACACGTTCCCACCGTCCGGACTTTCATCAAGGAACTCTCACATACGATAAGTTCCTTTATTGACTTGCTCCCATTTCGCATTGTATACATTTTTATACGTGTCGCAACCATGTTAAAAACTTCTATTAGTGCACATTCACCTTCTGATTTGTATTATGGCTATCGCCACCTGTGCAGTAATATAGGAAGCCGAGGCTAAAGAAGCTAGCTATGTCTCACTAAAACATCTTCATCAAATGCGCCGACACTCATTGTGCTCATTCCGCCCGCAAATCAACAGCTTTAGCGGCTATTTTCCTCAACCCTTCTGGCTGCTTGATTGGTGCTTGATTTACTGAGCTACAGTAACACAACTCCGTTTGGCTTACCTTCTACGCTTCCCTCTTTTTGCTTCCGATACACGTTTGTTTGCCCTCTGGCTGCTAAATTCAGGGTTTTGTCGCCTCTCTGTACTCACTTTTATTTTCCGGTCAGTTGCACCGCTCAGCAAACCCGATCTTCCTGGCGGCCATATTTTTGCATTAAATTTATGCGGAGCCTTTCCTTATAGTGATGGTTCGGACTTTGTATTAAATGAGCCTGAGGTTGACTTTGACTTGAACTATATGCTGTCTACCGGAGAAACGAATTCATTATTCCCAG